GCTTTTTCGGTCTTCCAGGCGTCCAAGACGGCCCGATGGCCCCCGACATCGCCCCAAGACGGCCCAGGAGGCCCCCCAGAGGGTTTGAAGACGGCCCAAGAGGGCCCCAAGACTGCCCCAGAGAGCCCCGAGACTGCCTACAAGAAGCCCAAGATGCCCCCAGAAGGCTCCCAAGAGAGACCCACGAAAGCCATGGGAGACCCCGAAAAAGCCATTGGAGACCCCCTAGAGGGCCCTAGATGGCTTCAGAAAGACATCTGGAGGGCCCCAACTCCCCGGGACGGCCCAAGAAGAAGGCCCCAAGACGGCCCAACAGGGCCCCAGGACGGACCAAAAGAGTTCCAAAAACGCCCAGATGGCGTTGTCCTACGAGCTACATCGAGCTGACCCGACGATCCTGGCTCCACGCTTGAAGCTCGAGGTTGAACTTCCTCGATTTCCTGAGTGCCTGGAACCCGCCAGGCATTCAGGAAACGACCAAGAATCTATTTGTTCGGAGCTACTGCGACTTCTTCGACGTGTCATGGGAATGCTCCTTACTTCCTCGAAGGACTGTCGCGCGTGGAAGAGAGAGAGAGAGAGAGAGAAGTTAGAATGTGCGTTGTTTGTTCTTTCTGCTTTTTACATATATATATATATATATATATATATATATATATATATGGAATAGGACGAAGAAGGATAATAACAAAAATCAAAAATAAACAACAACAACAAACAACAACAACAACAACAACAACAACAACAACAACAACAACAACAACAACAACAACAACAACAATTACTAGCACGTGGGGACACTCCGTTCTCACCAGTGCCAGGGTTTTCATAGGAGGCGGGCAATACCCCCACTTTGTGGGGGGGCCGGTTCAAGCTCTACCAAATTTCCAAACGACTCTTCGCCACCACCCACACCCAGCTTCCCGCCCTATGACGTTCGGACACTTCACTTCGTGGCATGCGGACGACCGTGGCTACTATTCAGGGCCCCGCGGCCGACGACGACGGCGTGCGCGCGCGAAGAAAAAACGAATGTGTCCCGCATGGTATTATTTGACAGGGATGATGGCCCTGGCAGGTGCGCAACCGTTGTTGCAGAAGTTCGAAAAAGTTGCTCGCAAAAGCCCGTTTGACAGAAATGTTTAAAAAGTGTTGGGTTTCCTACGAATCCGCAAGAGCGCGCGGGATGAAATTTTGACATTTTTTTGTTGAAAAACCATTGGTTTTTTGATGTTTTTATGTTAAAATCGCTACGAAAACTAAGGTTTTGGAAGGATTTCGTCTTGCGCGCGCGAATGTCCACTTTACCTTATTTTTTGCAAGGGATTCTTGAAGTTTGGTTATGTTAGAACAAGAAATGTCCACTTTAGCTTATTTTTGCAAGGGAAAACCGATCGTAACAACACAACCGGATCCGGACCAACCCGTTTTGCCTGAGACTTCCTCACGAAAATGATGAAAATGAGGCTGCGGCCTAGGCGCGGCGGGGGGGTCGTGCACCAGGGGCCCCAACAATAATTATTCTTTAGAAGTAATAATGTTCAACAACAACAACAACAACAACAACAACAACAACAACAACAACAACAACAACAACAACAACAACAACAACAACAACAACATTAGCAACAGCAACAGCAACAACAACAACAACAACAGCAACAACAACAACAGCAACAGCAACAACAACAAAAACTGCGCACAAGCGTGCAAACGCATCGGGCGAACGCAGTGTCAACAGGTACCGGGGACATCCGAAAAATGAGCCAATCGCCCGCCCAGGCCTCGAGGTCCCTCCCCCTTCTGAAGCAAGCGATGATCCATTGCTTTGCCAGGGAGGGTCCGGCACAAGGCGCATGGCGCCAAGCGCCGATACAATCTCGTATATAGAAAATATGAATGTACATATACGGTCGGAGCTTTTTGCTTAGCGTGTCGCGTCGGCGGCTCCTGCGACACGCTAGGGATAGCGTGCTGGTCCGCTCGGCGGGGCGGGAGGCTGGGAAGGGCCCGGGACGTGGACACCTGGGGACCGGGAAGTGGCTAGAGTGTCGCGCCGAAGCGTGGTGGGCCAGAACCAGCGGCGCGACACGCCATCCAAAGGTTCCCCACCGTAAACCTCCGACGGTCTGCCGGTGACTCGGCGAGCCCCGAAGCCTGCCACAGGCAGGACTGGCGAGGTCGGCCTCCCTCTCCTCTCCGCAGCGCCGCCGGCTTCCGATTGGGACTGGCGCCCCATGCGCCTTCAAGGGGGACCGGCGGCCACGCCATCAAGGCCAGCCCCGCCTCCCTCCCTCCGTCGCCACTTGGCCGACTCCAGAGACCCTGGGACCCAAACCTGTAGGCGCCTCGCTCTGGTTCCCGCGGCACTCCGCCGACCCTCCGCCGACCTTCCCGCTGGCGGGGCCGCAGCCATCTCACTGCCGCGGGCTTCCGCCACCCCTGCGGCTGCCCTCCGCCGAGGGCGAGGATGTGCCGAAGGCGCGAGGCCCAGCCCGCCCGCATCGGCTCGAAATTGAAAAATACTTGTTGGGGCTTACTCGTCCTCGGCTGCACGCGATACGTCCTGCCCTCCCTCCCTCCGCAGGGCCGCCGACGGCGGCAGCACACCCGAAGCCGACCGAACCAGTATCGAAACCGAGACTGACCGAAACCGACTGGCCGAATGCACATAGCCGAGAAGGGTGCAGCGACGCAGCAATGACACAACAACCGACTAGACCGACCCGACCGAACGCGACCGAACGCGACCGACTGCGACGCCCCACGCCGTGACATGATGACCAGGCCCCCTCGATCTGTTCGAGGCGCAGAATTTCCAGGTCCCTCCCTGCGCAGGCCCGGGGGGGCGAGCCTCGTCGGTGCTGGCCGAGGGCCACCAGCAGGTGGCCGCGCAGGTCACCTGGAGCCTGGCGGGCGGCACACGCTGCGTGCTGCTGGCATCGGGCCTCTGCCGCCAACAATTTCTAGCCTGTCGAGCACGTCAACGCAAAACTGTACAGGTGGCAACCGTTCGGCGCCCTGCAGCGTCACTTGGCCCGCTTTCCCCTTCTTGCCGAACACGGACATTTTGGGCGCGACATCCCCGAGACGGCACTGGACACTCTTCCCCTCTTCTGTGTACAACTTGTTCAAGAAGGTTGTGGGTAGGCCGAAATGCCCTGCGCAGCTGACAGGCACACGGTAGGATGGATTACAGATCAGTGGATCTGGCAAGTTGACGCGGGAGGGAAATAATCCCCCGAAACCATGAAGCCAGGGCCGTCTAATTTGGCCACGGTGCGAGTGGACTGTTGCATGGGAACAGGAACCATCGCTAATCCTGACGCCTTGATCCATGCTTGCGGATCCTCGCAACTGCTGGCCTGCCCCACTGCTAATCCCTTGCTAGATCCACTGCGCGCGTTTGGCCCCTTGACTTTCCCCACCCTCGGCAAGGAGTCCTAGAGAAAAAGGAGATCCTGGACGTTCAAGGTTTCGTACGTTTTCGTAGATTCCCAAAGCGGTGTGCAGCCTCAGGACGCTTTCCAGCTGCGCCTCGCCGAGGGGGGGTCCGGGGGTGCCAGGATCGTCCCGAGCGGCCGTCGGAGACTCGAGTTATGGCCCGAGAACTCCTCCTCGCGCTGTGGACAAGTCATGACCAAAGGGTTTTTGGCAGCCTTCTGCTTCTGAGGGCCCCTCACCACGCCATGGGACCGTCAAAACCAGCTCGGGATGGAAAGCTTCTCCACGGGGGTCGAGACTTCCAAAGTCCAGAGAAAGAAACAGAAAAACAAAAACAACAACAACCAAAAAAAACAATAAAAAACGTCGGAGTTCTGGGTTTCCCTGCTTCCCTGGAGAAGGTCAACGAGGACGTGAAGGAGAGGGAGGTAGAATGATCGCCAGGACTCCCTACCATCGCCGTCTTTGCCGCCGTCGCCATCACCATGATCGCCACCATCGCCACACTGCTCCCGATCACAGTGGCCGCCATCGCCTGCACCATCACCACCGCCGCAAGCATCGCCACCGCAGTCATCGGAGCCAGCCGTTTCTGGCATGGCAGCCGCTGCTGCCATTTTCTGGCCCGCCGGCAGCCGCGCCAGTCGAGAGGTGGCGCTCGAGGCCCAGGTCCGTGCGGGCACCGCGGCGCGCGCCTCTCCCGCAGCACAGCGACACGCCCGCGCGCGGCTGGGCCCCGGGAGCGCCGCGGAGGGTCGCCGAGGCCTGCCGCGGGGGGGGGGGGGGAAGACGCAGCAGGTTCAGCAGGAAACGCACGAGGGACAGGCTCTCTTTGGCCTGCAGCCAGGGAGCTCTTCTCCAGGACGGGAGAACAGGATGCTGGAAGCGCAATTGGCTGGAACTCGCATGCGCAACATCTGGAGGCCACGAGCTGGATACGCACACGTGGAGGGCCCGCGTCAGTGGCCATCAAAGGGCCGAGCGCTGGAACGACGTGCGGCCACGGCTCGTTCCAGAAACCCTGCATTCGAAACAGTTGCATCTCCGAGAGGGCTGAACTTTAGTTTCGCCGACTTCCGCCGCCCTGCCGCCGGCCTCCGCCGACGGAGGTGGCCTCGATTTCCTTCCGCCGCCTTGCCGCCGCCCTCCGCTGAAGAAGAGATGCTCCTAAGTCCCTCGAAAGTGGGCCCCCTGTCTAGAACGCCACACATGCATGTCCAGCTCCGTCGGCGGGCCGCGAAGGTGGGGTTGGGGCAGAGGTGGGGCTAGTAAAAGAACGCCCCGAACGGCCCCTGGGCGAGGGAAATGTGAGCATCCAACTGGGCTCGTTCCCTGACCCCACCTTGGGACAACCCCTCCCCCCTCTACGAACCCCCGACTCTCGCCCTGGGCGGCCGCGTCACGTGTATCCAGCTCCCCAGCTCCGCTCCGGGAGCACACAGACGAACCGTTGCCACCGCGCGCGTGCCGAAGCAACTCCGTGGCGCGGCATGTGACGCGCTTGGTCCCTGGAGTGTGCACGATGATGTCTGCAGTGCCGACGGCCACCACCTGTGGAAAGGGCCCACTCGCCATACGCAGTGCCACGGAGCACAGAGCAGCGGGACCGCCAACTCCCAACACGCACGCGGTGACCATACTCAATGCCCTGTGGTAGGCGTTTTGGATCAGGGTCGCGCTGACCGCGCCCCAGGCCCTACAGTTTGGCATGGCAACCGGACTGCTATTCTCCAGCACTTCTGAAGAGACCCGCATCCAGAGGAAGAAACAGTCTCATTTGATCTCAATGACTATTTCCTTTGAGCGAGAGCTACCCCCAATAGAACGTATAGAAGGCAAGGAGGCAGGGGACCCAGAAGAAAATAAAGGATGAGGAGGAGCAGCAGCAGCGAAGACCACCCGCGGCAACTCACATGCTCATGTGCTCGTCATCCCATCATTTCCCGACATTCTGAGTGAGGCTTTGTATTATTAGATGCTCTGCTCATCTTCTTCCTCCTCCCCCACCTCCTCCTCCCCCACCTCCTCCTCCCCCTCCTCCTCCTCCTCCTCCTCATCCTCGTCTCCTCCTCCTCCTCCTCCTCCTCCTCCTCCTCCTCCCTTCCTCCTCCTCCTCCACCACCTGCTCCTCCTCCAACTCTTCCTCATCCTCCCCACCGTCATCCTCCTCCTCCACATCCTTCTCCTCCACTCACTCCTTCCTCCTCCTCCTCCTCCTCCTCCTCCCCTCCTCCTCATCATCATCATCATCATCATCATCAGCAGCAGCATCATCAGCATCACATCAGCATCAGCATCAGCATCAGCATCCATCATCATCATCATCATCATCATCATCATCATCATCATCATCATCATCATCATCATCATCATCATCATCATCATCATCATCATCATCATCATCATCATCATCATCATTATCGTCCTCCTCTTCCTCCTCCTCCTTCTCCTCCTCCTCCTCCTCCACCCCATCATCCTCCTCCTCCCCTTCCTCCTCATCATCCTCCTCCTCCTCCTCCTCTTCCTCATCCTCCTCCTCCTTCTCTTCCTCCTCCTCCTCCTCCTAGCCCCTCTTCGCTCAAGCTGTTTGCGAGGATGGAACGGGGGGCTCTCAACAACTCTGCGCCGCACAGCCCGTTGCCTTTGTGACGGCCTCGGCGCCCGCCAGTCGCCAGCAGATGGCGCCGACTGCAGCTCGGCAGAATGGCATTCTCCTGACTCTCGCGCGCGACCGCACGATGCGTGTGCCCGCCCCCCCTGGGCTGTGGCACCCCTCTCCTGGCCGTTCTGAGGCGCGCCGCCGCGCGGATCGGAGGCTACGGCTGCACATGGCGCGCACAGTGCACTACGGCAAGTTGGAGAACTTTCAGGAGAGCGTGGATGAGAACGAGGGCCTGTTCAAGGACGTTGGCGGCACTACGTGGCAGGAGTCCGAGGACGCGGAGCATGAGATGATCAAGGAGGTGCGGTCCGACCGAGAAGGATGCCTGCCTTCGGGGGCGCGCAGTTGGATCTGGAGGGCATCGACATCGACGTGAACGGCATCCCGCACGAATCCGCACTGGACAAATGCGGTGTCAAGCCCAACCGGACCACCATCCCGAACGAGAGGGGGCCTGGAGACGCCATCCCCGACGGTGACGCCGTTCCCGAAACTGGCGCTGGCCCTGCTCGCGGCTCGGATCTTGCAGGCGCTGTTCCTGCACACGTACGTGGCGCTGGTCTCGTAGGTGGCGCTGGTTCTGCTGCCAGACCTGGTCGCTGCGTGGTTCCTGATCGAGATGTTGGCCTTCGAAGTGCCACCGCCACGGAGGTATTCGATGATTTCCACTGGGTACGTGCGGGGGCGGGGCTGGCCCGTGCCATCCCATTGACGTGGACTGCACCATCAACGGGGGCAGCCAAGTCCGCTCCACGCAAACCCGCAGAGGACCTGCCCGACGGTCTCGACATGAACCAGCGGTCTGAGAAGGATGTTTTTGAGAGTACGCAGAGACGCAGAGGAAGCTGAAGGGCATCGTCAACCCCACCATGCTGGAAAAGTACCAGTTCGTCGAAATGAGATATGATATAAGCTGTTATCCATGGCACGGGAGGGGACGGATACGCCGTATGCCGACCTGGAGGACTGGGTCCTGGATATCCTGGACAGCGCACTGCAAGCGTGGGAGGACATAGGCGTCGTTGGCAGGACTGACGACCTCGACTGGGTCATCGACGTCGACGGCCTGAGGAGGCTGAGAGGCCAGGTAGGTTCTCCTCTCCACTCCTCCTCCTCCGCCTCATGTCCTCCTCCTCCTCCTCGTCCTCGCAACGAGGCAAGCAACTGCAAGAGAGTCTAGTTTTTGTAGTCGGTCCCCTATGCTGGGCACCCCCTGTGCTGCGCGCCTCGTCGTGGGGCCGCCTGGTTTGGGGCCGCGCGGGTGGTCCCCGACGGGCCGCCTGCGATACGAGCGAGGTCAAGCTGCTAAAGCAGCTCCTGCTCCTCCTCCTCCCTTCTCCTCCACTTCCTCCTCCTCCTCCTCCTCCTCCTCCTCCTCCTCCTCCTCCTCCTCCTCCTCCTCCTCCTCCACCTCCACCTCCTGCTCCTCCTCCTCCTCTTCCTCCTCCCCCTTCCCCCCCCCCTCCTCCTCCTCCTCCCCCTCCTCCTCCCCCTCTTCCTCCTCCTCCTCCTCCTCCTCCTCCTCCTCCTCCTCCTCCTCCTCCTCCTCATCCTCATCCTCATCCTCATCCTCATCCTCATCCTCATCCTCATCCTCATCCTCCTCCTTCTCCTCCTCCTCCTTCTCCCTCTACCCACGCATCTCCCAAGGTTCGTGCCCGGTCAACTCCAGAAGCATCACCAGTACCTCGCATGACACGCCAAGGTTCTCCAGGGATGCCGCGTCAGACCGCGTGGGCCATCGGAATGGCATGTTATTTGTAAGCGCTCGTGCAAGTCAAATCCCACCAGCCCAGCCAGTACCACGTTTTCCCCTCCAGAAAGCCGCATCAGACCGCACGTACTATCGGCATACGCTGCTTGTTATCAGGGCTCGTGGCCTTCCCACTCCAGCAGCCCCACCCACCGCTTGTCCCCCTCCAGAACTGCCACATCAGACCGCGCGGGCTATTGCTCGTGCGTTCCCCACTACACCAGCCCAAGCAGTATCATGTTTCCCCCTCCAGGGTCCTCCAGGGATGCCACGTCAGACCGCGAGGGCCATCTGGACAGCCTCTTTTTGATCAGGGTTCGAGCCCTTCCCACTCCACCGGACCCACCAATGCCACATTCCTCTCCAGGTAGGGTGCTTCAGAGCGCGCGGGCTATGCGAAAGCTGTTTTATTTATCAGGGTTCGTACCGTTCCGGCTCCATCAGTGCCACAAGTACCGCGATTTCGACCAGAGCGCGCGGGGCATGCAGACACTTGTTTATCACCTCAACAGCCTCACCAGTTCTAAATCTCCCTCCAGGGAGGCCCTCAACGACGGCCGCGTCGGACCGCGCCAATTGTCGTGTACCATGGGAGTCTTGGAGATCTGGGAAGGCTGGGAGGGCATCGTTTTCCAACCCAGCGATAACAGCATGATAGTCCAGCAAGTGCCATCTGACTAAAAGTACAGCTGCAGTACTGAATAAGAATACAGTTGGAATGGCTGGGAGAGCATAGGGGGGCACTCCCGACGCCCGTCGTTGGAGAGCGCGTGGCCATGCGGGGGGGGGGAGGGGGGACAGGATGGAGAGTGGAGCGCGGGCACAGAACTTCACAAGACTCGGCCTCAACCGCTGTGCGAACACATGGTCACCAGGCAAACAGGACACTCCACACACGAACCGACCTGCGATAGGCAAACTCATGCAGTGAACTTGGGCCTGAACGAGGAAACGAGGATGCCGAAACGTAGGGGGCAGAATGGTAGGGGGGGGGTCCCAAGACCTCCTCGCGTCGGAAAACGATTGGTCGCTGTCGGAAGCCTGAGGCCCTGACCCGCGTACCGCGATCGTCAAAAAAACGTCTCGGGGTGAAAAGCGAGGAAGGGGTCTAAACCTGCGGGGTCCGCGTTGTGAAGGAAAAAACACCTAGAAAACAAAAACAACGATCTAAAACAATATAACACATAGAATAACAAAAAAAGCGTTGGAGGTCTGGGGTTCGTGTCTGGAAAGGCTGAGAAGCGCTAGGAGAACTCAGAGGGATGAGAGGTCGGGGAGAGCAGGGAGGGCTGGGAGGGCCAGAGATCCTGGGAGGGCTGGGAGGGCTGGGAAGGCCAGAAGGGATGCCGAGGCAGGTCATTAGTGAAAGAACGTGGACAGTCTACGCCTACAAAGGTAGCAACCCGTCCAGTAAAATCATGTAGTCTCGTAGACGGCATCTAATGCACAAGGCTGGATGGGATTGATCTACATTGAGCGCTGGTCTGGCCCGCAACGCAGCACTGTGAAACTTGGCGGGAGGGAGAAGAGGAGAAGGAGGAGGAGGAGGAGGAGGAGGAGGAGGAGAGGGCAAACATCCCGGTGAGCGCTACAGGAGCTCCCGCAGAATCAGCTTCAGCGCGCTCACGAAGATGGCCTGGCTGACCTCCGCAGCATGCCGAGCCCAGCAGTGGGTCAAACAGACGCTGGCCGTAAGCTGTGAAGGATGTGCCGGAATAGTCGACACGCGGAGAGCAGAGTCAGATACGGGAGGTGAGAGGAAGGGGAGGAAGAAGGAGGGAGTGGACGCGGGAAGCTGTCTCTTCGAAACGACGACCCAACACCACAGGATGGTCGGGAACAGGACGTGCACCTAGCGCGCAGAAGAAGACAGAGAAGTGGGTATGTGCAGAACGTGTTTTTATGTGTCCTGGGAAGTTCTGGGGGGGGGGGGCGACGACGTGACGAAAAGGAAGGAAAGGACGAGGGTAGGAAAAGGAAAATGATGATATACAGAGAGGATATACGTAAACTGAGACGTTCGAAAACCAATATGTATTTGAAATGTGTTGTTGCTTATTACGCTAGTAACAACATTGGCATTGCTTAATCAATCGCAAATATCCCGCATATCCATGTCTGTATACGTATGTATATACATATATACCCTCTGATGTCTGGAGCGCGATGCGCTTGCAAGTATCATTCGTTTCTGTTTCATAACAATACAAAATGCGGCGGGGCGCGATAGCGTTTGGAATCGAACAACATATTCATGAGGCATGGTCGCAGTCAGGACATAGCGCGTAGCGCTTGGAATATAGTAGGGCGCGGTCGGACAACATATTCATGAGGCATGGTCGCAATCAAGTTGTAGCGCGTAGCGCTTGGAATATAGTAGGGCGTGGTCGGCGTGGGTTATGTTTATCACTTGCAAAGTGCAAAGAGGAACAGCACTGGAACGCATGAGTGCGACACGCACCTAAAACCGAGACGGCCCACGCCCAAGACAGCCAATATTCCCATGATGCCCATCACACCCAAGATACCCATGCCAAGAAATCCAATCTACCCAAGACGCACGAGATACCCAAGACACCATTTATACCGAATACAACCAATATGCCCAAGACGCCCAAGAAACTCAATCTACCCAAGACACCCGAACTACCCAAGACAAGCAATATACCCAAGATACCCAGCATACCCTAGATGCCTCATCCAATATACCCAAGAGAACCATACACTCAAGACACCCCAGATATCCAAGACACCCAAGCTTATCCGGAAGGGCTGGCTGGAGCGCGTAGCGCTTGAAATGGAGGCAGAACGTTGGATACGTCGGTGGAGCCGCGTCGGATGAAATTCTTTGCTTGCGCAGAACTCAATATCTCGAATCAACTTCACCACAGTTGCTGGCCCAGCTGGCCCAGCTGGCTGGCAGCGGCTGGCAGTGAGTGAGTGTGTGTGTGTGTGCGTGTGTGTGTGTGTGTGTCAGCGTGCGTGCGTGTGTGTGTAGTGTTCTGGTGCGGTGTAGTTGCCGTCGGCTCTGCCCACGACGCGGCCCTCTTGGCCACTGCCGTAAACGACGAGACGAGCCCAGCCGAACCCTCGGCGCTTCCCTCTTGGCCGCTGCCTAAGACTCTCTGGTGACGGTGAAAACAACATACACCCAGCTCGCTTGAGTACCCCATGAAAAGGCCAATTAAGCAATACCGTAAATCGAATTCGAACTTCACAGAAGCACAAGTACACCTGATGGAAGTCCATGGGACTTAACGTAAGGACGCGTGCGACCGCACGCATCGTGGAAGAAGCAATGCAATGCTACCGAGATTGGAAGAATACGCATTGCGAAAGGCTCAGAATGCGTCCCAACCGTTTGTTTCAACAGATCAAGCTACGAACTTGGATGCACATGTTTGTACTAAGTTGTTTCACGTTTCGATTGGGACGTCTGGCTTCTGAGCCCTATGCACTCGGCCTAACAGAAGGGCGCAAAAAAGAAATCGTTCCTCGGCCCGAGCCTGAAATCATCCCAACAGATGCTTAGCAACATCAGTCCACTCCTCCCTCTTCCTCTTCTCAAGCCTGGCGTTGTTGGCCTCGTCCTCTGCACCATTCGCTGCCGCCTCGGCGGCCCTGGCCTTGAGCAAGAGGGCCTTCCGGGAGAGATCGCTCGCCTTGAACGTCTTCATGTTCGCGGTAGTCTCACGCACCTCCTCGTCGATCCACGGCCGCGTCAGCTCGACGCACTTGTCATAGAAGCCTGGAAGTACTGTCATGTAGAAGAGCTTAACAGGGATCTTCACCGACAAAGGAGGTGAGAGCATTGCTTTGGAGTACTTGACATCGACCTGAATAGTCTTGTGCGCGATGCTCATTGTAGGCACCTCCACGGGCTCCCCGTCGCACGTCGCCTTCACTGGCCGCACCAACCAGGCTGGCGCGACGTATTCGTTGATGTAGGCGCCTCCCTTGTTTGGCGAAATGTTGATCTTGCAGCGCACGTAGACTCCCATGCCGTCCACCTCAGCGATCTTGATAGAGCCCACAGACGGTATCAGGCTAAGGGGGCCAATGAAGTTCATGCGAACGGAACGGCTTGCCTGGACGCACCATGCGCCGCTCCCGCAGCAGATTGGGTCCACGTAGACACCGTCGAGACCGTTGTCTGCCGTGTTTGTGTAGAGGACCAGCGCCGCCTTGTGGATGTCCCGGGAGATCGCCTCCAGACACGCCTCGTGGAAGCGCATGCGGTGGTGGTCCTCCACCAATGGTTTCTTCTCTTCCTCCTCATGGTCCGTAGCGAGGCCGCCCCACATGTTGACGATGTCGGTCATCACTGCCTCCATGGGCTGACGAGTCGCCAGGATCGCCTCCTTCAACTTAGCCTCCTTCGTCTCCTGGGTCGTCTCGGTCGGTTGATCGTCCTTCTGTGACCCAGGCTGGTTGACGACCTGCTGCTCTCCGAGCTTGGTAGAGTTCTGCTTCTTGTTGTGGTCCAGGATGGAATCCAGGCGACTCTGGACAAATGCCGACAGCGTAGATGGCGTGGAAGCTTCCTGGGATGCAGTCGCCAGCAGTTCCGCCCAGAACCTCTCCCAATCGAGGACTGCGTTGTCAGTGTCGTGCAGGAGATGGACGTCGACGTGCGACACAACCTCGACGATGTCAGATATCATGGCGAGCTGCGTGAGGAATGGATGCTTGACAACCTTGGTGCTGCCAGTGCAAAGTGTGTTCAAGATTCCCATGACGTACTCCACGCGGAACCTGGCGGGCACGCCATTGGACAAGAGCGTCGCTGATATCAGGTCGCAGTGCAGAGCAGAGCTTCTCCTGGACGCGGGTCCCTGGATCGTTTGCTTGACATGGCAATGGACTTGAAAAGGTCTGAAGCGTGCTCTCTGCAATGCAACCTGAATCACGACGACCCCAGCCATTGGAGTGCCCCAACCTGCAGAAGCTCTTGATAGTAACCGCATCCGGGAAGATCGGCTGCAAGCGCTGCGGGACGGAAAGAGACCAGTTCTCAAACAGATCATGAAGCACGGGCACGATGAGGTCGCGGCGATTGAAGATGGCATGGTTTTTCATGTATTTCTGCATCGACTTGACGACAGCGTCAATGTCCAAACCTTCCTTGGGAGACTCCTTGCGAATAGATGTGAATATCGCCGTATTGATCTCCTGGAACGCGGGCTGCATGGTGACTGGCATGGCCACGTCGTTCTTAAGGAGGAACATCGACAAATCAGCAACCATCTGCGCATCATCCCAAAGACGGTCGAGCGCGGCCATCTTGATTTTTATCATCTCCGATTTCTCGTCCACGACCCTCTGTAAGGTACAGTTGATCGAGGTAGCGATGTTGGATGCCGCAACTGCATCGACTCCTGGAATGCCTGCGTGATCGGCGGCAACCTTCGACCTCAGAGCCGCGCGAACGTGCGACCACAACGTTGCACCGTAGAGCTGTGGACACGCAGCTACAGCACCATCCATCACCTTTTTCGACAGGCCGAAGAAGATACCCTGCGAGTACGCCCACTTGATGCTGTCAAACTTCACCTTATCATCCGGAACCTTGCGGACCACGCTGGAAATTGCAGAGTAGAGGTCGTCCAGGAAAAGCTTCTCCCGCGATGTCACGTCAGGGGTAGGGACAGGCGCGATGATTGCATCACCAGCCACATCATCATCTGATGCGGTCGGGTCAGGACGCGCCGGAGGCGTCCTCGGAATGATGGCGGCGGTTGTCTCCCAAGACTCCGTCATGTCCACGGCCTCGGCGGGTGGGGCCTCACCCTTTCCGCTGTTGCCCCTGCCCCTGCCCCTGCCCCTGCCCTTGCCCACGTCGGGCTGAGGCGGCGGAGCATCGGCTGAGCTGGAGCCCTGAGCTGAGCCCTGTGCCTCCGGCGCCTCGGCCTTCTTATTCTTCTTTGAAGGGGACTTCGGGCTCGATAGCATCTTGGCGATCGACTTTTTCAGACCCTTGGCTGCGCCTGGCTTCACTGGCGACGACCTCTTCACTGTCTTGCCATCGCCCTTGTTCTTTTTACCTTTCTTTCCCTTGCCCTTGCCCTGGCCCTTGCTGCCCTTCTCCTCTTTCTTCCTCATCTCCTTCTGATGCGACTTCTGGCCACTTTTGAAAACCACAGAGCCTCCCATTGGGCATTTAAGAGCTTTCAAGGCATCTGGCTTCGCTCCACCTTCAAACACCCAGCGAGCATCCTCGTCGACGCTGTCGCCCGCATCCGCGATCGGAACGACGAACTTCAGGGCCTCCAGCAGCATCACCTTCAAGTGATCCGCGGGCACGGTGTCCACGAAGCCCTCGTAGATCGCGACGTACACGTCGCGGTTGATTACCAGGGTCCCTTCCACGGAGAACTTGGGATTCGCGAAGTTGACCTTCGCATTACAATCTTGGATGTAGGCCTGCATGATGCTGAGCTTCTCCATGCCGCGCAGGAAGATCTTCGCGCACTTGAAGTGGTTGTACTTTTTGAAGAGCCCAGTGAAGTTCTCATTGAGAAATTCCTCGTAGCACTTATCCCACGATTTCCCGATGGCAGCGCACCCCCTCGATGTCAAGTGGTTCTTGCGGGTATGCTCTGACCAGCCTGCCTCAATGGCTGGAACTTTCTCGTACAACTCCAAGTGCGAGGTACCAGCGCCCCGATGGAATTGGTTGTGAAGGGTCATCTGGCGTTCTCGGATGAAAAATCTTCGCGTTGGGAAGCCCGTCTCGAATCGTCTGCACAACGAACCTGTTGCCTGGATCCCGCCTGCGGGCCTCGTAGAGTGATTCTGTCAGGGTCGCACAGGAGATAAGGCCGTGGTGCTGGACCCCACCAGGCGACACTCGATCATTCGGAACCGCCCAAGGCTGCCCCCGAACTCCAACCACCACGCCCTGGGTCAACACATTCTGAACGTACTGCTCCCTCACCGCCTGATGGTCGCGCTTGTTCACCCTGTGCCGGGTCAGCGTCTCCTCCCCCTGCTCGTCGATGAGGCGGAGAGTCACGTCCTGCTGCGAGATCACGTAGTCCCTGAACACCCTGTGCTGTAACTCATTTCCATGCATGTTCGGGAACCTCTCCGAAATATGCCTGAGCGAATTGAACATGTTGAGCTGGGTGTTTTGGTCCATCGCCGTGGAGTCGCAACGAAACCAGAAGCACGGTATATGGTGAAGGTCGCGGCGTCGTAGCCGAGAATAGCTAAATATTCGAGCAAATTGCTGTCAGCGAAATGCGCGACGTTCGATGTTTGACCGCATGACACCCCGTTCCCTCCCGGGGGCTTCTCTGGGGCTGCCTTGAGGCCGTCTTGGGAGATCGCCATCAAAGCCAACGATTCCAACCGAAAACGCGAAAAAACGCTCTTGCTCACTAAGCCCTTTTCAGTGCCAAAAACCTGTTAGTGAGCAAGAGCTTTTTCTGCTTGTTTTTGAGCACATGCGAATGGTTTCCCCGCGGGAAAGGGGGGGGGAGGAGGGATGAGGTTTAAGACCCCTTTGGGCCCCTTGGGCCCTTGGGCCCCTTGGGTCTCAACACTAAAGTTTCAGACCAATCGCCCCCATCATCCCTTCCTCCTCCCCCCTCCTCACTCCTCCTCCTCCTCCTCCCCCATTCCTCCGCGTCCCTCTCTCCACCGAAGGGGGTGGTGGAGGAGGTGGATGTTTTCTGTTGGCCTGCAGGCGCACAGCACACTAGGATCGAAGGGTTTGAATCTAAGATCGGAAGCAAGCTGTATCTCGCCCAGCAACGAAATTGTTGAACTAAACCCATCAACAAACCCAAGGCACTATACTAAATGTTCACGATTCCACGGTAGCTGACCCTAGTCCACGCCCACGTCCTCGATCTTCCGCTTGAGGCTACGGCGGTTGCCAGAGGCGGCGGGGCAGTTGAAGCGGCTGCCCGGGTCGGCGAAGTATGGGTCGTAGAGAACGTTCGTCATCAGCCACAGCATCCCTGCACCTATCACGTTGAGGTTCATAGTGTTTCCAACTTGGCCCAGTACTTGATTGCGCTTCCGATCTGGGAAGAAGACAGAAGAGCGCGAATAGTCGAACACAGTGGGCTCAAGGTTTACCTTGGCGCCAGGGTAAATTGGGAACCCTTGAAGCATGAGAAGCTCCCTCCACGTCAGCCAGCGCCCATGCGCATTGCTGAAGACGATACCCATGTTCTTGATGAGCGTATGGGTACACATCACGCTTCCGCGGGTAGTCCATTTAATCGCGTCCTGATGAAGAGAGAACGTCACTGGCGCATCCGGGTCGCGCATCGTCAGGCGGTACTCGTACAAATTATTTAGCTCCCACAGTGTGAGCGCATCGGTGAATTGGGTCCACTCCTTCAACTCCTTCAGCTCTGTCTTCCGGAACAGCATGTGCCCAGGCAGATTGTGGATCTCCTCGTCGACGGTCTTGCCATACAAACTCTTTGGACGAGACCTGGCCCAAAGAAGTTCTTCTACGAGTTCATCACCAGCTGCCATCATCACGCCTGTCCAGGGCCACTTCACCAACCTCGCGCACTGCTTGTAAAACTCTGGCATGGGCACTGGAATCGTCATCCTGGACATGATGATGCGCTTGTGGACTCCAGCAGTGATTCGCCTCTCGCGCACTTGCGGGAAGCCCAGGTCCTTCGAGTTGACGATACACGTATACAGCACGTATTTGTCCTCCAGTATCTTGAAGATGCGATTCCATGGGAATTCCTTCACGTTCTCGTTCAAGAATGCGTCGTCCTCGATGACGTAGCGCTGACCCACCCAGCACATGGTGCATTGCAGATCCCGTCCCTCCTCTCCCCATCTCTGCCCCTGTTGCGACCAGTCCGGGCATGGCGTGCCCGCCACGTGGATGCTGGACTTCTCCATTCGGCACTTCGGACACTCATGGCCATGAAAGACGCACGGTGCTGAAGTAACCACGGCCTTGCCTTTCTTGATGATCCTCTCGTAGTCCTCAAGGCACATCTGACCAGCCGCTGCGGCTTTCGAGATCTTGTCGTAAATGAGCGGATGCCAGAACTCGTTAATGTCCTTGAACATGCAGCGAGGACGATGGGGGTGAGGAAGCATCGCGAGTTCCCGGCGGGATTCTTGATGCCATTCCACCGCATAGCAAGATTGCATCGTTGTGCCACTCCAGGCAGGGTAGTGCCGCTCGAAGTAGCAATTGATCGCAATGTTCGCGTGCTCGGGCGCCCCAATCCCTGAAAACGCAGTAGACAATGTATGCAGCCCAAGCGTGGGACCAACCTGCGTCGTAGTCGTCGTCGTCGTCGGTAGCTATGTTCCCTACCTTGGCTCTGCCTAGAAGGGTTCTTACCCTGTATGCTTAAAGGGCCGGGCAGTGCTCCCCGCCCCGGGCGGTTCCCTCAGGATTCGCCCCGCGGTTCCCCCAGCGACGTTCCCTTAGCTTAGCGTTGCTTATCTCATCTTAGCTTAGCTTATTTCATCTTACCTTCGCTTAGCTTCATCTTAGCTCAGGTTTGTCTTAGCTTAGCTTACCTTCATCTTAGCTTCGCCGAGCTTTAGCATAGCAGAGCACAGCATAGTATAGCATAGCGTAGCATAGCATAGCGCGGCACATCATATCATAGCATAGCCCAGCATAGCATAGCATAGCCCAGCATAGCATAGCTTAGCATAACACAGCGCAGCATGACATATCATAGTTTAGCATAGCTTAGCATAGCATAGCATAGCATAGCGCAGCATAACATAGCATAGCATAGCATAGCGCAGCATAGCATGGCATAGGATAACATAGCATAGCAACCAATGCTGCTTTCCTATGGGGGTCAAACTTCTAGGTAGGGTCGCACTGGGGCAATTTGGCTATTCAGGCACCACGGGATCGCCGATGAAAATAAAAAACTGGTGACCCCCCTGGAAGTGGTAGAGATATTGGATGTGCAGCCTTCGTGGCGGCATCACACCCCAAGCGGGTGCTGGCAATCTTCATGACGTGATCGACCCAGTTGAAGCAGTCTCGCATACTCCAGACAGAAGTCGCCCGACACGTAGAAGCCGAAGCAGTAGACATCCAGCCGAGTGTGCTTCAGTAAAGGTACAGGATGAGACAAAACAACCCTGAAACTGATCTGATAACAAAGCAGGCCACATACACAACAACCGCCCGCGTGGTCTCCACTGCCAACAGGAGGGGGGCTGCCTACGGGGACTCCAGTTCCCACCGGTGCCGCCTGTGGGGACTCCACTGCCCACAGGGGGCTGCATGCGGGGACTCCAGTTCCCACAGGGGGCGCGCGTGGGGACTCCACTGCCCACGGGGGCTGCTTGTGGGGACTCCAGTTCCCACAGGGGGCACGTGTGGGGACTCCACTGCCCACAGAGGCTGCCTGTGGGGACTCCAGTTCCCACAGGGGGCTGCCTGTGGGGACTCCACTGCCCACAGGCGGCTGCCTGTGGGGACTCCAGTTCCCACAGGGGGCGCTTGTGGGGACTCCACTGCCCACGGGGGCTGCCTGTGGGGACTCCAGTTCCCACAGGGGGCGCTTGTGGGGACTCCACTGCCCACAGAGGCTGCATGTGGGGACTCCAGTTCCCACAGGGGGCGCTTGTGGGGACTCCAGTTCCCACAGAGCCCACACAGAGGGCTTACGCGGTGACTCGACTTTTCACGGGGGATTGCATGTCAAGGAGTGCAGAAGCGCGAAGCGCATGGAATCAAATAGCGCGGTAGCGCTTGGAATATCAAATAAGACGAAATGCAAGCAACCATTGCGCGAGAAAAGATATGCGTCGGATGCGTCGGTGATGGCGCGGGAGAAAAGATGCGTCGGATGTGTCGTTGATGGCGTGGGAAAGAACTTGCAAAGAAATGCTTCCACATGTGTGCCACGCGATTGAGTTTTGTGTGTATGTCGGTTGTTGATGTTTGTATGCTCTCTTTTTGTTCACAGCGTGACATAGCATAACACAGCACTGCGTAACGCAGCACGGCATAGCTAGCTCGTTAGGCCTCTGAGAGGTATCCCAAGGGCCCCTCACATGCACCCACGCGTAGGGCTTATGTCAAGGAGTGCAGAAGCGCGAAGCGCATGGAATCAAATAGCGCGGTAGCGCTTGGAATATCAAATAAGCAGAAATGCAAGCAACAACTGCGCGAGAAAATATGCGTCGGATGTGTCGGTGATGGCATGGGAACGAACTTGCAAAGAAATGCTTCCACATGTGTGTCACCCGATGAAGTATTGTGTGTATGTTGTTTGTTGATGTTTGTTTGCTCTCTTTTTGTTCACAGCGTGGCATTGCTTAGCATAACACAGCACTGCGTGACACAGCACGGCATAGCTAGCTCGTTAGGCCTCTGAGAGGTATCCCAAGGGCCCCTCATATGCATCCACGCGTAGGGCTTATGTCAAGGAGTGCAGAAGCGCGAAGCGCATGGAATCAAATAGCGCGGTAGCGCTTGGAATATCAAAAAAGACGAAATGCAAGCAACAACTGCGCGAGAGAATATGCGTCGGATGCGTCGGTGATGGCGTGGGAAAAAACTTGCGAAGAAATGCTTCCACATGCGTGTCACCCGATGAAGTATTGCGTGTATGTTGGTTGTTGATGTTTGTTTGCTCGCTGTTTGTTCACAGCGTGGCATTGCTTAGCATAACACAGCACTGCGTGACACAGCACGGCATAGCTAGCTCATTAGGCCTCTGAGAAGTATCCCAAGGGCCCCTCATATGCACCCACGCGTAGGGCTTATGTCAAGGAGTGCAGAAGCGCGAAGCGCATGGAATCAAATAGCGCGGTAGCGCTTGGAATATCAAATAAGACGAAATGCAAGCAACAATTGCGCGAGAACATATGCGTCGGATGTGTCGGTGATGGCGTGGGAAAGAACTTGCAATGACATGCTTCCATATATGTGCCACCCGATGAAGTATTGTGTGTATGTTGATTGTTGATGTTTGTTTGCTCTCTGTTTGTTCGCACAGCGTGGCATAGCATGACACAGCACTGCGTAGCTTTTAGGCCCCTGAGAGGCACCCCAAGAACTCCCTTTGCATGTATCCAAGAGGCTCCTAACCCACGGGATAACTTTGACGATCGTCGCACGCTCCCACTCCTTCTGTGATTCGGGTGATTGGCGTAAGCCGTTCTAAT